TTTCTTTACTTACTCTCTGGCTCCTCAAGGTAGAGGAGCCAAATGTCTGGCTCACTGCTGCCAACTAGTGGTCAGAGGCTGAACTACAACATAAAAATGAACGGTTGGCAGGAAAGTTGACATTTTAAACCTTAATAAAAAATCGATACAGGGCTTTAGAATATCGATACAGTATCGGGAAATGAAATATTGCGATATTTCAGTGTATCGATATTTTCTTACACCCCTATTCAGACCCGGTCCAGGTTCAGTCAAAGTTCTGGAGTGAACTAATTGTTCCCAGTGAATAGAGAGGTTTAAAAAGTGCCTGTGATGTGAATATCCTTCAAAACAAAAAGTCAAAGAAAACATATTTATATTTAATAAAATTGGTATAATACACACGATTTTACACTTTTGTGTACGTAACTGGCATATTTTCTTTTTAATTTGACCAAGATGAAATATAACAGGAAGTGACATCATGAGAGTATTATTTAGGAAAAGGGAACTTCCTGGAGTTTATTTATTGAAAGAATATTATTTTAACTCTGACTCTTCCTCATCTCTGCTTGAAAGTGACTCAAAATTGTCTAAAGAACGTCAGATTCTTCTCAAACACTGCTCTGTTCACACGACGACGTTACTCTGGTGACATCACTTCCTGCCACTTCACATGCTGTGCAAATTCAAATATTGCATAGTAGAACCAGAGGCTGTACTTCATATTAGTGACAAACTTTGGTGTTTTTTGATGAGTTACTTTCATTTTTGCTTCTACTTTTCATTTGAAATAAGTTTCCATTTTCAGCAGGTTTCTAAGGTTCTTCTTCTACATATTAAAAAGTTGTTAAACATCTGAGTGGTGCACTACTGCTACTAGTGGTGAGAAAGTGTATTGCACCTTATTCAAACTCAGTGTGGTCCCACGGCCCTCTGTGGCCCAAAGTTAAAAACTGTTGTTCTTTTGAGGCCCTCAAGGTGGCGCTCGGCCCAAGAATCTCTGGTCTAAACTCTGGGACAGATCCGTTGGTCTAAACTCTGGGACAGATCCATTGGTCTAAACTCTGGGACAGATCCGTTGGTCTAAACTCTGGGACAGATCCGTTGGTCTAAACTCTGGGACAGATCCGTTGGTCTAAACTCTGGGACAGATCTGTTGGTCTAAACTCTGGGACAGATCCGTTGGTCTAAACTTTGGGACAGATTCGTTGGTCTAAACTCTGGGACAGATCTGTTGGTCTAAACTCTGGGACAGATCCGGTTGGATCGTAGCTGAAGCTGCAGGTGTGTGTGTGTTTTCTCAGAGATGTAGCGTGTGTGTTGGAGGGACCACGGACCATCATGCACCTCTTCCTTCTGCTGATCCTTCACCTGCCAGCAGCCATTGCGCAGATCGGCCCAGGTAGGCCCCTCCCCCTGCAGGAAGTCCGTACCCACACCTGTCAATCATCAGAACATTAACAGCTCCCTCCTGGTTTCAGAACAATGTCGCTACGCGCTAGGCATGGAGGACGGGCGGATCAAAGACCAGGACCTGTCCGCTTCCAGCCAATGGTACGACACGACTGGACCGCAGAACGCCAGGTGAGCGCAGGCCACGCCCACTGCCCTCCCAGACCACACAGGTGTTCACGCAGCGGTCTGATGGAGGACAGAATCCTGACCCTCAGACTGTCAATGTTTGTGTTTGCAGGTTGAACTGTGAGCGAGGGGACGGGGCCTGGTGTCCTAAAGGACAGCTGGAGCCCTCAGACAGTCAGTACCTGCAGGTCAGTGTCTCAAACAGGTCCGGTCCTGTTCAGGAACAAGGTCTAGATTATCATCGAGGTTTGGTTTTGCAGATCGACCTGCGCAGGCTGACCTTCCTGACCCTGATGGGAACTCAGGGACGCTACGCTCTAGGTTTGGGCAAAGAGTTCGCTCAGCAGTACCGCCTGAACTACAGCCGAGACGGCCTGCTGTGGAGGTCCTGGAAGAACCGGCAGGGGAAGGAGGCGAGTGACCCAGACCCCACACTCAGGGATTAGTATAAGTCTGAGGGGGACGCAGGGACAGAATAACCATCCGTCTCTCCGTCCCGGTGTCCCTTTTTCACCTGCAGGTTCTGGATGGCAACAAGAACACCTACGCTGTCTTCTCCAACGACCTCAAACCTCCGGTCATCGCACGTTACGTCCGCGTGATCCCCGTCAGCAAGCTGTCCACCACCGTCTGCATGAGGCTGGAGCTGTACGGCTGTCCCTGGGACGGTAGGACACAGAGACACAGAGAGACATTAAACCAAAACCTGGGCTTCTTCATGAACCAGATGTTGTCTTCTTCCTGTAGATGGTCTGATGTCCTACAGCGCTCCTGTCCCCAGCCTCAACGACTCCACATACGACGGAGTTCAGGACAAAAAGTCAGTCAGCCCAGTCCAGGTCCACATCAGTTGCTTTAGTGTCTCTGGTCTTTGTGTCTCACGGCTGTCTCGCCCAACAGGAAGCTGACCGGAGGTCTGGGTCAGCTGACCGATGGTCTGACCGGCCTGGACGACTATCGGCTGAGCCACCAGGTCCAGAGGCCCGGGTACGACTACGTGGGCTGGAGGAACGACACGCCGGGGATTCTGGGATACGTGGAGATGGAGTTTGTGTTCGACAGGCCGAGGAACTTCACATCCATGAAGGTGTGTAGTTCTGCTTCCATCATCACATCAGAGCAGAGCAGACAGGAAGTAGATCTGAAATTAAACATCAGACATCCTTTATAGTTTCATTTAAAGTGATCCACGGTCACCTCTAACATTAGACTGTAAGAGATGAACGTTTATTTTAACTGGAAAATAAAGAAGTTTTTATCATTTTTTAACAAAATATTTAAAAATATACCGTATTACACAAACTGGTCCATTTTATTTACACGCAAAGCATCATGGGTAAATGATAACATCGACTAGGTCATCACTGTGAAACTACGAGCTTCATAAACCCTGAAGGTTAATGTTGGACAATATCTGATGATCATCTCTTTGAAATGAATCCAGAGCAGAGATAAAGAGACGAGTCAGCCTGCAACTGAAAGTCAGACAACGGGACACTGAGACTGTGAGACACTGACTGTGAGACACTGAGACTGTAAGACTCTGAGAATGTGAGACACTGACTGTGAGACACTGAGACTGTAAGACTCTGAGAATGTGAGACACTGACTGTGAGACACTGAGACTGTAAGACTCAGAGAATGTGAGACACTAGGATTGGTTAATATTGAGACTGTGAGACACTGTGACTGTGAGACACTGAGAATGTGAGACACTGAGACTGTGAGACACTGAGACTGATACTGAGACTGTAAGACACTGAGACTGTGAGACACTGAGACTGTAAGACACTGAGACTGTAAGACACTGAGACTGTTTGATATTGAGACTGTAAGACATTGAGACTGTTTGACACTGAGACAGTGAGACTGATACTGAGACTGTGAGACACTGAGACTGTGAGACACTGAGACTGTAAGACACTGAGACTGTGAGACACTGAGACTGTGAGACACTGAGACTTGAGACACTGAGACTGTGAGACT